TAATCTGTATTTGTGAAATCATCTTTAAAATATTTCTTTGCTTGCTTGCTTAAGATTCTCCAGCGGAAGATAGTTTTGGGGGCTGACCTGTTAATAATTGTCGACTCGTCGCTGTGACGTCATCAATAAATACTTTTACATCTTAGGATATTTCAAGGCTTGATTTCTACGCTACAACTGGTGGAGAGACTGGACCGATACCCATTAAGAAATAAAAGAAAAATTGATTCTGTTGAACCAGAAGAAACTTCTATGAATGTAAAGAAAGAAGGTACTCAGGTAAGCAACTACGTTGTTCAACATCTGCCAAGGAACCCTTCCATTTTCTCCGGGGAGGATGGTGAAGATCTCCAAAAATGGTTAAAAGGGTATGCACGTGTGGCAAGGTACAACCATTGGGACGAAACCCTTTGTCTTACTAAAGTTTATTTTTATCTGTCTGGAACTGCTCTCAAATGGTTTGAGAACAACGAAGAAAGCATACAGACTTGGAAGGAATTCACATCTCAATTAGAGAATGTGTTCGGAAAAAAAGAAAATTCAAAATTGCAAGCGGAGAAGAAACTTAAAACACGGGCACAATTAAAAGGGGAAAGTACCGAATGTTACATCCAGGATGTCCTGTGCTTGTGCAAAGAGGTTGATCCTCAAATGAGCGAGGAAGATAAAATCTCCCACCTCATGAAGGGGATAGCTGAGGAGCTTTATCAAGCACTCCTACCGAGGGATGTACAGAGCACCGAGCAATTCATTACAGAATGTCGCCGTGTCGAAGCGCTCCGCTGTAGGCGAGTTACCCCAACCAAGTACGAGCGCCTACCAAATGTAGCCTCTCTCTGTGACCAGGATGACGGAGAAGATCTGTCATCGCTGATCCGAAAAATTGTTCGTGAAGAGATAAAGCAAGCATTGGACTCTCCTCAAGAGGAGCCTAAAATCGCTGTCATTGAAGATTTAGTGAGGGAAGAGATTGTAAAGACCTTGGCACCTAGATCAAAACCTACAATAAGTCCCCCTCAAGCATCCAGGCCTAGATACGAGGCTCAAACGATACGACCGCATTCTGAACCTCATTACCGAAAGCAAGGAAGAAGACGCGACACCAATGATTGGCGTACAACTGAGGGAAGGCCAATCTGTTTCTACTGCGGACGCCCAGGTCACGTCGTCCGCTATTGCCGTGACAGGAAGAGACACAATGAGGAAAGGAGAAATGACTATTTCCAAAGAAAGCAAGACGCAATGGTATCCTACAACTCTCGAGCTGAATCTCAGGACCCCAGTGACGAATCATCGAGGAAAACTTTCACTCGCTACCGAAGCCCTACTTCATATCGCGGTCGAAACAGACCACATTTCTTACCTGCTAGAAGATCTAGCTGGCCGCCCCGCCATTAAAACTAGATGATAGACCACATTGGAGGTGAGGCCGCAAAGTTATAAAATCCCCCCTTGCCGACCACAGTAGAAATGAGAAAAAGCTACCTTGACGTAAACATTGGCCTACCAAGTCCTCATGAAGAAGATATCTCAACTGAAAGAAGACATCCACCGCAGTCACCTGAAAATATCCCTGGCCATGGTACTAGTTCTTAAGACATCGTAAGTCTCCTGTTAAGCATCGGGTCGATGCTCTCTATAGGAGGAGGCTATGTGACGAAGAAATATTTTATTATTTAATTTAATATTATTCAATGAAAATATATTCAACAGATTATAAAAATATATATTAATCTGTATTTGTGAAATCATCTTTAAAATATTTCTTTGCTTGCTTGCTTAAGATTCTCCAGCGGAAGATAGTTTTGGGGCTGACCTGTTAATAATTGTCGACTCGTCGCTGTGACGTCATCAATAAATACTTTTACATCTTAGGATATTTCAAGGCTTGATTTCTACGCTACAATATACAAGAATGACATCCACGGCGCCAATTTATAATTGTAACGAATAGTATTTGAATAAAAGCATTTAATCGGGTAAAACCCGGGCGTTGCCCGGGTCATTCGTATATAATAATTGTATAAACGAATGCAAGACAAAATCACCGCGAATGTTTCTTTTTTTTTAAAGCAATTTCTTTTCAAGGCAATTATCGTTATTTATCGTTAATTTTTGTTTCGATTTTATTGAAAAAAAAAACGATATGGTGCCTTTAAAAAAATGATCTGTATTACTATGCAGTTTTCTATTTAGTCAATATACCTAAGTTCATGTTGCAAATGTAATTATCTCTATCGATTTAGTAGGTGAAATGCAAAAAAAAATCGACATGATGAAATCTTTATGAAAATTCACATTTTTATTGTTATATTTTCAAGACAAACACAGTTTGGGGCGGGACGTTTCACAAGAGAGACATCCACGGCGCCAATTTATAATTGTAACGAATAGTATTTTAATTAAAACATTTTAAAAACACAGTTTGGAACGGGACGTTTCACAAGAGTGACATCCATGGCGCCAATTTATAATTGTAACGAATAGTATTTGAATTAAAACGTTTTTAAAATATATACGCACTCGGGTAAAACCCGGGCGTTGCCCGGGCCATTCGTCTAGTACCTAATAATATCCCAAAATTTCACGGCGATTGGATGTATTTCTTGAAAATAAAGATACTTCGGCCAGTAAATCTTTTTATTATCTCAGTAATAGTAATCTTTATTTTCAAGAAATATGAATGCCGGCCAGGCAGCCTCAATATTTACGATAATCAAGACTAATTTTGGTCCCGAGGTATTCAAGATGGCAAGCGGTAATAAAAAGATTTACTGGCCGAAGTATGTTTATTTTCAAGAAATATGAAGGCCGGCCAGACAGCCTCAATATTTACGATTGGATGTATGGTTTTTGAATCTATAGAGTACAAACATACAGACAGATATTCTATTATATATATATATATAGATAATCCAAATTGTGCCTTATAATCGATTTGGTCTTATTACCTTGTGTTTATAATCCAAATTGTGCTTTATCATGGATTTGGTCTTATTACCTTGTGTTTATAATCTTTAATCCAAATTGTGCCTTATAATCGATTTGGTCTTATTACCTTGTGTTTATAATCTATAATCCAAATTGTGCCTTATCATGGATTTGGTCTTATTACCTTCTGTTTATAATCTACTGGACGGATGACCCGGGCTTCGCCCCGGGATTGACCCGTGTGCATATCTACCCGAGTGATTTATATTTAGATAAGATTTTTTTTATAATTGTTTGTTATTAGCATTATCTATTTGTTTGCATCAGCATAATTTAAGCTAATCTTTGATAGAGGGCGCTGTTCGTTAGCTAAGTAGAATAATTTGAATATATAGTTTTAATAATTGATTTATATATTTTTTAAAATAGCCTATCGTCTTCCCCGTATTTTTTTACCTATGTATGGAAATTTTGGTTTTAATTAGTGAACTACTGCGAATTTGTATACCGGACATACAAACAAACAAACATACAAATATTGATGTTTTTTATATATATAGATAATCCAAATTGTACCTTATAATCGATTTGGTCTTATTACCTTGTGTCTATAATCTACTAGCCGAATGACCCGGGCAACGCCCGGGTTTTACCCGATTAAATGCTTTTATTCAAATACTATTCATTACAATTATAAATTGGCGCCGTGGATGTCATTCTTGTGAAACGTCCCGCTCCAAACTTTGTGTCTGAGAAGCGATAATTTTATAAAGAGATGATCTGGCTTTGTGTCTTCTGCTCGAATGAATGTTTTCCTGTTAGAATTTTGTTCCTGCATACTAAAAATGAACTGGCTTCACCCGTGGTCTCTGCTTTTTGGAATTTTTCCGGATATAATTTTGTATCTTATAATCAAATATGATACAGCAATATTGTCATAATCATTTTCTGACTAAAAAAAACAACTATTTTTGCCCAGAACCTGTCAATTTCAATTTTTCTTGGCTAAAAATGCGACAAATATCTCTTCGATATTTTTTACTATGTCCTGTTAAAACACGTTTTACATGTACATTAGGTCAGCTGATATTACCTCCCATCTTCACCGCTAGAGGCACTGCTTGCGAGCGAAAGAGCAAATTTGCAACTCAAATTTGCAAATAACTCGAAGAATATTCGGGATAGAGACCTGAAATATTCAATATAAGTTTTCCAGATTCTACTATACATACTGCTTATATTTCAGTCATATTAGTTACGTATTTTACGTATATTACGTAAAAGCATTCCATTCACAAAAGCAAACGATGACAGAATTGATGACTCTGATACTTGTATATCTTCTATATATATAAATAAAAATGAATGTATGTTTGTCTGTCCTTTATGCCTGACCAAACCACTCATTGGAACGCCATGAAACTTTGGGAAGTTATTTAGTATAGTACTGGGAAGGTTTCTAGCAAATAAATTTTTTGAAATAACTTTTCGCCCAAAAATAATCAAGATAAATATTCTAATTTATCTTTTATAATTCAACAATCTGCTCTAAATATTATCATGATTTTGTAATGTAGAAAATTAGGAAAGACAAAATTCAGGATGACACGGCAATTTATTTGAGTCAAGAATAATGATACAATTCCAAGGCAAGATACTATTCCTTTAACTTCCAATTACCGAGGGAACCAATTAATATTGATTTCATTCAACTTATCGAGTATTTTTCAAGGGACCGGGAAAAAATGTTCACTTTATCGAGAGATTCGTTAGACAAACCTTTACTCGGGTAAAACCCGGGCGAAGCCGGGTACATCCATACAAGAATAATGATACAATTCCAAGGCAAGATACTATTCCTTTAACTTCCAATTACCGAGGAGGGAACCAATTAATATTGATTTTATTCAACTTATCGAGTATTTTTCAAGGGACCGGGAAAAAATGTTCACTTTATCGAGAGATTCGTTAGACAAACCTTTATTCGGGTAAAACCCGGGCGATGCCGGGTACATCCGCTAGTTTTAATAATAATAATTTAAATGAGTTTTAAAAATTGTAAAAAAAAATGCATCGGCCGGGAATCGAACCCTGGCCGCCCGCGTAACTTGCGAGCATTCTCGCCACTGAACCACCGATGCTTATAAAAAATGGCCATATTTGGGTATTTATTCCATTCACAAAAGCAAACGGCGACAGAATTGTTGATTGATTGTTGATTGATGACTCTGATACTTGTATATTTTAATAATCCAAATTGTGCCTTTTCATGGATTTGGTCTTATTACCTTGTGTTTATAATCTACTAGCGGATGTACCCGGCTTCGCCCGGGTTTTACCCGAGTAAAGGTTTGTCTAACGAATCTCTCGATAAAGTGAACATTTTTTCCCGGTCCCTTGAAAAATACTCAATAAGTTGAATAAAATCAATATTAATTGGTTCCCTCCTCGGTAATTGGAAGTTAAAGGAATAGTATCTTGCCTTGGAATTGTATCATTATTCTTGTCTCAAATAAATTGCCGTGTCATCCTGAATTTTGTCTTTCCTAATTTTCTACATTACAAAATCATCGTTTTATCTAGTGAACATTTTTTTACCCACCGACCAATCAGAGGGGTCAAGAGGTCCTGGCGCGCGGGGGCAGAGTTGGTGACAGAGCAGTGCCAAGTAGACAAGAAAACGTTTAGACAACGTTTCTTGTTACTTCAAGCCATCTTGCCACTTCTGCCTGTGATTGTCCTGCTTCCATCATTCCAATAGCTTGCCATTTTTTTCTTGTGATAAATGTTGCCAATAATAAGCCATGAAAAACCTTTTAAAATATAAAAGTTTTATATAAATCTAGCGGAGCGTAAAATTAAAACGCTTTGAGAAAGACTCGGGCACGTGTTGGAGGCGGAATCAACGTAGACGGTGGTATTTTGCATATTGTGAACAACTTTATTTGTTTTTCTGTTTTACATATTCTCGTAATTCATGGAAGTTTTTGAATATACCAAAATTTGATATATCCTTTAATTAAACTTTTTTTTTCTTAACAATGTGTTGTTCCTTTAATTGGGAGGGCCAGTGTACATGCTAATAGGTACAACTTTCTTAAGTTTTGTCTCCATGAATATACATATACTGTATTTAAAAAATAATAATACAGTAAAACATAGCTTTTGAAATTATTTCTGAATTTGAAAGATAGTTAGCGCTAAGTTGTCATGATGACAAAAGTCCAATCTCTAGTTGGAGTATTTCAAATGTTTGCTAAATAATGGCTAGACAGGCTCCTTCCTTGCCCGTAGCTACGGATCGACACCACACACAATAGTAGATCGGTCTTGAGATTAAACTGACAAAATCACTCTTCACCACTGAATAATTATGATATTTTATCATTGCAGCATTATATACAGGGTGATCCAAAAGTCCCGCACAACTTTAAAAATTAATAACTCCGCGAATATTTGCGCTAGAGCAATGCGGTAAACACCATTGTGTTCGGGATGCAATGGGATTTTTTATGGCAAATAATGAAAAATTCGAAATTGATTTTAGTTACAACTTTATTCGCTAGAGATTGCGCTCTACCAGAATCAGCGATTAAGCGGCCAAAATGTTTGATAAATTGAAAAATATAACTGAACGAAACGTATTTTTCCTTTTTGAAACCAGGAAAGAAACCTAATAATATCAAATGATAAATTAATAAAACACCATTTCGCCAAAAGTTAGAAGAAATGGTTAACGATTTTTAAATACAATCTGAGATATGTAAAATATGTATATGCAAATTAAAACATGTAGCAAAAAAAAAAAAACTGATATTTTAGATGCGGTTTGCTGGAATTATCTCAGCTATTTAAATTTCGAAAATAATATTTTCTATTTTTTTTAAATTCAACTCTCTCTCAGTATCGATTATACACCTATCCTCCGATTTATACGGTAGATACGTTCCTGAGAAAAACGTGTAAAATAAAAATAAAATGCATTGACAGGTTGAAATATGTAGTCAGTACATAAGCTCGGGATTCCTCGTGAGATGTGTAACAAGCGCATATGTTCAATCACAGTAGAATTTAGTATAGTGCGATAAAACAAAAAAAAAAACTTATTTGGAAAACCGTGTAAAAGCGAAAACGTGTAAAACAAGTACCGTGAAAATCGGGGGATAGGTTTATTTATTTTAATTCATTTGAAAAATATTTATCTATCTCTGATGATTTATTTTACTCTGGAATGCCGTTGTTGTTTTTGTCGTGCCCAATAAAGAGCCTCAGATGTCTCCATGCATCTCTATCACAGCAGCAGCAGCATTGTCCACTATCTTGGGTGTGTAAAGCAGCTGCTCTGGGTCTATGTCAATTTTCTGCAAGGCTGCGGGCATGAGAATATGTGGGTAGGTGTTCGTTCCACACCAGGACAGTTGTTGCATGTTCTATAGGTTCTTGCGCCATCTGGATGTATTGTCATCCTTTTTAATGTTTTGTTCTAAATCTTGTTATAGTTTTGTCATTTTTCTCTAGGAGTTTATTTCACATTTTGGTCTTTTCTTATTTTTTGTTTAATTATCTTGTATTTTGCAAAAGCATTAGCGTTAAATAATGACATTTGTTCTTTCCTTTGGCTCAACTTTCTGGCTTCCTTTGCAAATTCAACTGCCATTTCATTACCCCCGATCCAAACACTGGCAGGAATCCATTGTAAAATGCAATTATTCTCCAATTATATCAGTTGAGTAAGTAACGAATGTATTTTCTGTGTGATTATAGTATTGCCCTTCTGAATTGCTTCTAGATCGGATATGAAGTCGTTGTACGGTATATTATAATTCCTTCTGCTTGATGCAGGGATGGATGGTTAAGGCATACATCAAGAGCTTTCCAGATAGCTGTCAGTTCACAAGTGAAGTTTGACGAAATCTTTCTTGCTCCTTCTTTGATTTTGATGTATGTTCCATCTTGCAGTATTATGTTTATTCCAGCCCCTCCATTACTTATGGTAAGGTCTGATGATCCATCTGTATATATTGTTAAATAATTTATCTGATCGCATAAACCAATTGTGTCAAGTCCTTTCTTTTTAAGTATGTTTTTGTTTTCTTTTTTATTGCAGGGTTCATTCAGGTTAAGATTGATGATTACATTTGATGGCAATAGGGTAGGAAATATTGGTTATTCTCGAATTTGAAATTCATTATGTTTAATATTTATGTTCTTTCTAATATTGCTGTCGTACTGAAGTGTTGAAGATCTTTTGAGCCTTTCTTTTTGTGTCCAGTTTAAATAGGTTCTATGGGATATGTGTTCGGTTTCTTTAGTTTTTAAGCTATTGGTGAATTTTATTGTTTTTAATTGTCTTCTGCTTTCAAGTAGGTCTAGACCACATTCTCTCTGAATTTTCTAATTGTTGGTATTTGAAACAGAATCAGTGATTAATTTGGCCGCTTTTGCTTGAACACTGTCTAGTCTTCTTTTTAGTGATGAACTTGAGGGAGCCCAAACAGGTGTTGCATATTCCATTATTGACCTTATTAAGGTGATATATGTTGCTCTGAGAATTTTGGGTTTTGCTCCCCAATTTGTTCCACATAGCCTTCTCAGAATGTTTAGGTTTCTGGTAGCTCTATTTGAGGTGCTAATTATGTGTTATGTAAATCGCAATTCCTCATCAAGTATCACACCTAGGTAATTTGGAGATCTAATTTTATCAATTATATGGTTGTTATACTTATTTTAGAGTTAAATTCATGCCTTTTTTTCTCTGTCAGTGAAGGAGACCTATAGGTTTGTGTTTATTGGGTTTATTGTCATTTTGAGTTTCATTGCCCACTTCTCCAGTCCTCTCATTGATGTGTTCAGTATTTTTCTGATATTTCTATACTGCTACTTGTGTGCCATATGGCTATATAATCTGCATAACAGGCAACCTTTGTGTCTTCAGTGAGGATGTATGTTGTTAAGGTTGTGTCGTAATTATATGTACAACAATTCAAACTTGACCATGACTCTTTTTTTAGCTCTTATTCTTTTCGTTTGGACAACAAAAATGTCCAATTTATATATACATATATTTTTACATAATGAGGCTTTAAATAATACAAATAATATTCATCTATTTACATAAACAACAGTTAATACATAGCGAGAATAGTAGAGGACTGAGAACAGATCCCTGAGGTACACCAGCCCATGTTCTTCGGTCCTTGGAAAATGTTCCATTGACCCTAACCTTTATCCGTCTTCCCCTTAAGAAGTCTGCAATCCAGATTAAGGTTTTTCCTCTTACTCCGATGTTGTGCAGCCTTTCAAATAATTTCTACACTCGATCAAAAGCTGAGGTCATATCCAGGAATACAGCCGTTGTCTTTTTCGGCGGTTTTTCCTAGAAATCTATTATTGATTGACAGAATTAGAACAGTTTATGAGTTGTACAGTGTCTGGATCTTTAAGCAGTTTGGTAGAAGTTTATTTTATCATTGTTAGTGAGCCAGACTATGAGCCTAAAGTGGATAATTCATTCTATTATTTTATAAAGTATGCTGGTAAGAGCAATTGGCCGATAGTTCTTGCATTCCTTGGCATCTTTGTTTGGTTTCAGTATTGGCACTATAATTGATATCTTCCAATTCTTTGGTAGTTTACCAGTTTTCCATCATGTGTTCAGTATTCGTAGGAGTTGATTTTTAGCTTCGTCTCCAAAGTATTTAATCATTTGACCAAAGATTAGAGCATCTCCATGTGACATCTTGGATTTAACTTTTCTATTGATGAGCTTAGCTCATTCAGTGTGAAGTCTCTCGAGTAAATATCTTGTTGATGGTAATATCTTGCTTGTTTAACTAACCTGTTTACATTATTTTTAGAGTCCTGCCTTCATTCGTATAGCTGAGTCTGGAAGTGCTTGAAAGATATTCAGCAATTATGTCAGCCATCTGTTTGTTCGTTCTCGCTTTTCATATCGTTTAGATTTTTGGAGGATTAGTGTTTGTTTTGATTGTTTTATAACACTAATTATATTCCAGTGATGGCTTTCCTTTTTTGGATCAAATTTATCGCAGAATTCTGCCCATTTTTCTCTCTTGTTTGAATATCCAAATTTCTTATTCGATTTTGTGACTAATTTCAATGAGTTCCTTTATGATTTCTT